ACGAGCTTATCAGCTAGAACGATATGACATAACCGGAAACTTTCTTAATGATTAGATTTTGTTCGCATACTTTCATAGAGATTATATGAACTTATCTGAATGATTTTAATTTGTCGGGGTGCAGGTCCAGGCCAACACTCTCTTAAATCAGGCTTATCAAGGGCCTCCGATTGATTGATTGATAAAGATTTAGCCACCCTATATTTAGTTCAGTACATATATAGCTGGTCCAGGGTTTCCCTGGATCAGCTATATATGTACTGAACTTCCCCAGGATGCCTTACGGGCTATTCATGCCCGTGCCACCTCTTGGGTGGCTTAATCTTTATCAACCAATCAATCCAGGATGCCACGGGAGACATCTCCCGTCACGCAAGGTGCAGTCGCATCTCCATAGATCTCCAGTATCATCTATTGACACTGGTAATGGCTCAATGGGCCACCACTTACGGGCTATTCATGCCCGTGCCACCTTTTGGGTGGCTTAATCTTCATCAATCAATCATCAATCCAGGATGCCCAAAACAGCACATGCAGCACCGCTCCTGTGCCAGATAAGTCCACTACGGGCTCACCATAGCCCGTGGTACTTGGAACTTGTTCCGAGTAGCTGAATCTATAACAACAACAACCCAGGATGCCGCCGCCGCTCCCGCTCCTGTGCCAGGTAAGTTACGGGCTCACCATAGCCCGTGCTACTTGCCCCGCTCCTGTGCCAGGTAAGTTACGGGCTCACCATAGCCCGTGCTACTTGGAACTTCCGAGTAGCTGAATCTAAAACAACAACCCAGGATGCTCCTCTCCTGTGCCAGGTAAGTCCACTACGGGCTCACCATAGTCTGTGCTACTTGAAACTTTTTGTTCCAAGTAGCGAATCTTAAACAACAACAACAACAACCCAGGATGCATACTTACGGGCTATTCATGCCCATGCCACCTCTTGGATGCCTTAATCTTTATATCAATCAATCAATCCATGATGCAACCCATAGCAGTTGCCTATAACTAACTCCCGGGTACCTATTTACTGCTAGGTGAACAGAGGTATTGGGTAAAAACGAAACGTACCCAACTGTCTCGTCCAATCGGGGATTGAACATATAGGCCAATGTGCACTATCACTTACCAATGTGCACTATCACTTACCAATGTGCACTATCACTTACCAATGTGCACTATCATTTACCAATGTGCACTATCACTTACCAATGTGCACTATCACTTACCAATGTGCACTATCACTTACCAATGTGCACTATCATTTACCAATGTGCACTATCACTTACCAATGTGCACTATCATTTACCAATGTGCACTATCACTTACCAATGTGCACTATCACTTACCAATGTGCACTATCATTTACCAATGTGCACTATCACTTACCAATGTGCACTATCATTTACCAATGTGCACTATCACTTACCAATGTGCACTATCATTTACCAATGTGCACTATCACTTACCAATGTGCACTATCATTTACCAATGTGCACTATCATTTACCAATGTGCACTATCATTTACCAATGTGCACTATCACTAACACTCGGTAAGTTGGTTTAGTTCACTTGCTAGAACCACTGACTCCATAATGTAATAATTTATTCCTATCAACTTTTCATTGTATTCATCTCTTATTTTTCTTGAAGTTTTTAAATTTGTGTTAGCTTATTTCTCTTTTAGTATTAAGTGTTTACCCATTCACACCTTGAAATAACTAGTTTTTTCACATTATTTTAAATGACTGCCCGAAACGCTGCGCGTACTAGTGGCTTTACAAGATTGTAAATACCATGTTATGGATCCTCACAAACCCGATGTACCTTCTTGTATATAAATAAATAAATAAATAAATAAATAAATAAATAAATAAATAAATAAATAAATAAATAAATAAATAAATGTTGCTTAAAACGCTTTGCGTAATACATATAGTGTCTTCGTTAGTTGGTTAATCCATGTCCCCCCCACAAATGTACATTACCCTTATGTTCTTTGTACACACATTCTTTTAAATCAAAAAAATTAAATTGAATTTGAACTTATTATTTACCTCATACCCCATCCTAGTTGTCGGGGGTCCGACCACTTGTGATGGACGGTAGAGCGACGATCTCGCTTTATGCAGGTCGGCGTTCAATCCCCGACTGTTCAAGTGGCACCATTCCTTTCCCCCCGTCCCATCTCAAATCGCAAATAGACACTCGCCTGGCGTTCCGCGAGCGCTATGTCATGGGTTCGTATCCTGGCCGGGGAGGATTTACTGGGCGCAATTCCTTAACTGTAGCCTCTGTTTAACGCAACAGTAAAATGTGTACTTGGATGAAAAAACGATTCTTCGCGGCGGGGATCGTATTCCAGGGACCTGCCCGAAACGCTACGCGTACTAGTGGCTCTACAAGAATGTAACAACTCTTGTATATATCTCAAAAAAAAAAAAAAAAAAAAAATCCTTATCCTGACCCCCTGCCATAGTCGTAATGGCGTGGCGCTTTCTCCTGAGAGTTCTCTTCCTTTGAGGGCGGTAGAGGAACCCCCTACATTACGGTCTTTATAAGCTATAGTTACACAGCTACATAGTTTCAATATACATGCATATAGCACATATGCATACTAATTGTTAAACACCGTATATATTGTGGATAGCTCGTGGATAATAAAATTATTCGTGGTTATCGTGAATAATAAAATTATTCGTGGATATCGTGGATAATAAAATATAATTCACTTGGACACTCGGGGCCTTGAACTGCCAACCATTGAGACAGTAGCTGCTATATATATATATATATTGAAAAATGATTAAATATATTGGCTATCAGTTTGGGGAAAATAGTTCACCTTCTACCTATACGCCGAGGTAAGGTAAAACAATTATCAGGAAAAAGTGCTAAGCCACTACGGCTAAGCCACTTGGAAGGGATCAGGATAAGGATTTGAGATGGGATGAGAAGGAATGGCGCCCAACCACGTGGACGGTCGGGGATTGAACTCCGACCTGCACGTAGCGACTCTCGCTACTAGCAAGACAATACGAATTGGAGGCGGTGTACTTACCTAGTTGTGCTTGTGGGGGGGGGGGGGCTCTTTGGGCTCTGGCTCTTTGGTTCCGCCTCTCGACTGTCAATCAACTAGTGTACAGATTCTGGAGCCTACTGGGCTCTATCAAATCTACATTTGAAACTGTGTATGGAGTCTATCTCCACCACATCACTGCATTCCATTTGTTAACTACTCTGACACTGAATAAAATATTTCTAATGTGTCTGTGGTTCATTTGGGTACTAAGTTTCCACCTTTGTCCCCTTGTTCGTATAAAACCCATGCTAAATAGTTTGTCTTTGTCCACCCTGTCAATTCCCCTGAGAATTTTGTAAGTGATTATCATGTCTTCCCTGACTCTTCTGTCTTTCAGGGACGTGAGGATTAGCTCCCGTAGCCTTTTCTCGTAGCTCATACCTCTCAGTTCTGGGACTAGTCTGGTGGCATACCTCTAAATCTTCTCTAACTTTGTTTTGTGTGACTCTAGGCTGGAGCTGCCTACTCCAGTATTGGTCTGGCATTAGTGGTATACAGGGTCCTGAATGATTCCTTACACAAGTTTCCAAAGGCAGTTCTTATGTTGGTCAATTTAGCATATGCCGCTGATTATATCCTTTTGATGTGAGCTTCTCGGGAGAGGTTCGGTGTGATATCGACCCCCAGATCTTTCTCTCTATTTGACTCTTGCAGGATTTCACCTCCAAGATGGTATCTTGTGTTCAACCTCCTGCTACCTTCGCCTAATTTCATTACTTTACACTTCCCTGAGTTAAACTTCAGTAGGCATTTTCTAGATCATTCCTCCAGTTTGTCCAGGTTGTCCTGTAGTCTCTGTCTATTATCATCTGTCTTGATTCTTCTGATAAGTTTTGCATCATCAGCAAACATTGAGAGGAATGAGTCTATACCCTCTGGATGATCGTTTACATATCAGAAACAGGATGGTTCTAAGTACAGAGCCCTGTGGGACTCCGCTGGTGACATCTCGCCATTCTGATGTCTCCCCCCCCCCATCCCCTCACAGTTACTCGCTGTTTCCTGTTGCTTAGATAGTCCCTTATCCACTGGAACACCTTACCATTTACTCCTGCCTGTTTTTCCCACTTTGTAACGCCATTTTTTTAGGGTACTGTGTCAAGGGCGTTTTGATAGTCCAAGAAAATGCAATCTGCTCCCCCTTTTCTTTCTTGCCAAATATTTGGATTCGGATTCATAGTCTTGAGGTTCCGGGTTCGATCCCCGGTGGAGACGGAGACAAATGGGCAAAATGTTTCTTTCACTCTGATGCCCCTGTTACCTAGCAGTAAATAGGTACCTGGGAGTTAGACAGCTGCTACGGGCTGCTTCCTGGGGGGTGGGGGGGATGTAACAAAAAGGAGGCCTGGTCCAGGAGTGGGCCGCGGGGACGCTAAGCCCCGAAATCATCTCAAGATAAATGAAAAAATCCACAAGGGCCGTGAAGAAGATTCCAACCTGCATCCGGGAGTATCCCAGACGCTGCCTTAATGGAATGAGCTACATGGTCAAAAGAGTTGAAACCAAAATTCTACTGAACTTACTGCAGGATCCAGTAAGTCCTCGTCACGGCCCTTGTGGATTTGTTCATTTAATGCATCACGCTATTGTGATTTCTGTGTGTAATCTCAAGATAGATCCTGTGAGGCACGATTTACCATTCCTGAACCCATGCTGATGGTGTGTTACAAAGCTCTTTCTCCCCTCCAGATCTGGTGTGAGATGTGGAGGGTGGAGGATAGAAATAATCACAGCTACTCTAATCTCTTTGGAATATGTTTTATTATCTCAATAAAGTAAGTTGAGATGTGGAGGGTTCAAAGATGGCGGGGTGTGAGGAGGAGGAGGAGGAGGAGAGCGTCAGTTGTTCTGGTGGGCCAGCTGACCGGTGAGTGGTGAGGGCCTCACACTCGCACTCACACGCCCGCTACCCTGCCTCTCTCTCTCTCTCTCCCTCTCATTCTTCAGTAAGTTCCCTCACTGTTCTCCTCCTGGGTGCTGGCCCGAGGTAATCTTGCCAGCTCCTTAAGTTTTAGAGGCGTGTGGAGGAGGTGCTGGAGTGTTAAGGAGGTGTGTGCGAGAGCCTCTTTGAGTGCCGGAGAAAGTGCTGGCCTAGTTTACAGGTGCTTTCTCTCCCACGCTAAACAACAACAATATATACTACTCGCTATTTACTGTGGTTGTAGGATGTATAATAGATTAAGGTGGTGCCTGAGCCGATAACCTAGAGCCGTGGCCAAGATAACCTCAGGAGAGTGTGTTGTGCGATAACTGTGTACATAATACCATGCTCCCGTAACAGTAATTATAGTTTGTGGTTCACCAAGTTGAATATTGTGCCACTCTGTGAGGTAAATGAAGAGCCCTTGTTATATATATATGTTGAGCCCTCTAGACATCTTGATTGACCTGACCTTGCTGGGAGGTGTTTCTGTAAATTGATATAATGCCTGAAAAGTGGGGAAAATGATCTGGCTGGAACTGGTTCCTATGCGGGTCAGGAGTTGTGACTTTTGACAGAGTTCATACTGTGTGCGAAAGTTAACTTTAACCTATTGATTGTACATCATAGCACACTACACACGTAGCAGTGAGTGGGCTCACCTTACTGGGGTCTGGTAACAGTTTGTTTCACATTGTATGGCAGGGGTGTATAATTGTGTGTCCCATCCCAAATCCTTATCCAAGTGCTATATGGCTGTAATGGCTTGGCATGTTCCCCTGAAAATTCCCTCCATTACCCCCCACAGTGGTACACGCCCTCTGCTCGTATAACCTAGGGAGCCAGGTTCGGTCTCCGGGCACGACACAAGTTGTTGGTCACGTTTCTTTTCCATCTGTTCACCCCTAGCAGTAAATCGGTACCCAAGAGTTACGTAATTGTGAGGGTCGCATTTTGGGGAAGGTCTTGTAACATATGTTTACATTGTACGTAAACATTGTACGTTGTTTACATTGTACGTTGATTAGACATAGATTTTAGTATTTTTTTTTTTTTATATTCGTTTAGTATAGTCTTGGTTACAGCAGTCAGTTTGTTGGCAGTATAGTGTTGTGGTAGTTGAGGTGAAGCCTGGAGCAGGGCAGAGAGCCGAGTGAGGCCGGGTATAGAGTGCGGCGCTCTAAATGCGGGCGGAGTTAGAGCCCAAGTACGGGACGAGAGCATTGAAGCTCGATGCGGCCAGAGTCTGGCTGACGCGTCTTATGAGGGCAGGAACTGGACACGTCAAGTGTTACATTATTGGTGAATGTTGAAGATGTGTGGTATATCTCTAGCATCTGTACTTAACCACTCCTGGAGTTTAGACTGACTGATATGCTGGCACTATATTTTAAGCACTCATTTAAGGTTATCTCTCCTAAAGACAACACTACTGTATTCTTTTTATAAAGCTGTCAGACCCAACTAAAGGTTACTGTACTGCAAAAACATTTGACGTAGCATTAGAGTAATTTCCCTAACATGGTACCTAAAAATGTAGCACCTGCACCAGTGCATAAAATAAAAATGGGAAAATGCCAGAAACTTGTCTAGTGTGATCCAAAAACTTCTTGAAACGTGAAAGAAATCTTGTAATATTTATTCTATAAGATTAATATTTTAATGGTTTAAAGCATGACATAAAAAAACAAGGATATTTGTTTATCTTCAAATTTTGGGGTTTTATTTATGTTTTTGGGCAGATATATGATTCTTAAACTGTATGATGACAATATGGTAGACATGTTAAAAGGAAAGCATTATGTTGTAACACAAGGTGTGGGGAACTTTTGATCTTGGCTTTGCTAGGGGATCACTGCTGCATTCGGTTCGATGACTTAAACTACAGTGGAACCTCGACTTACGAATGTCCCTACTTAAGACTTTTTTGAGTTCCGACCCCAATTTCATCGGAAAATTCGACTCGACTCAAGACCTTTGCTTCAACTTGGCGAATTTGTTTATACACGTATGGGTCGATGGAGCGCGTGGTTCCTGATGGCATGGGCGACCCCGCTTCAGTTTACCAGGCCACCCGCTTAGTGGCGATCGCGCTTGAATTCTTTGTAAAGAATTTCATTTTCAGCTTTTATTGCTTTCTATATATAAAAGTAATTATTATATACCATGCCAAGGGTTTCTCAACAATTAAAAAGTGGTGTGCAGTATGGGAAGAAATGCAAAATTTTGTTGAAACGACTCTCCCAAATCAAGCTGCAGTAGGATGTTGCCTTAACCTTTTCAGTGACTGATGCCTCACTACAAACAAATGTTAAAATGTAGGGAAAAATAAGTCTCTATGGAAAGGTTCTTAGTGAGAAAAACAAGCAGTGAGCCACAACCAGGTCCTAGTGGTATGCAGGCAAAATGTAGGAGTACCCCAGAGAAGTCATCACTGCCGGATGTTATAATGGTATCCCCTTCTAAATAGTAACACTTCTCCTCCCCCCTTCCTCCTCACAGTCTTCCATATGCCAATAAGAGTTATTAATAAAGGTAAGCTATATCTGGTATATACTACATTTCATACATAATACACACACACATTTTGTACTAATGTATTTTGAAGTTAATATTTTTTGGGGGTGTGGATCGGATTAATTCAATTTACATTATTTCTTATTGGAAAATTTGTTTCGAGTTATGACCTGTCTCTGGGAACGGATTAAATTCATAAATGGAGGGGCTGCTGTTCACACCTAGAAAACAAACCACATAAAATTTACATGATTAATGAAGGCAACGGCATATTCTCTCATTCTGATTCGTATCTATTTTAGCATATATCAATTGTGTGCACTTAATACCAGTAGTAAAGGACATACTAGTGATTGATGTTGATTTACATTCAAACGAAAAGTGTTAGTACAGTATAGTTGTAATGGCTTAGTACTTTCTCTTGATAATTATCTTGCCTTGCATCCTAACAAGAACTATCCAAATATGTTCAATAGATAAACTATCTGGCCCCAGCTTAAGTAATGGATGGAATAAAGTTATGCTTAGCTCTGTGCAAGTGCTGTGGTCCCAGTGCTGAGAAGTCTCAATACTCCTTCTCTATCCCTCTCTTTTCTCACTCCTCCCCTCTTGCCACAACCTATCCATCTCTCTCTCTCTCTCGCCTCTCCCCTCTCCACCAATTATCCATCTATTTCTTGCCACCTTCCCTGCCCAACTATTTCGGCTGGACAGCAAAGCGACGATCTTGCTTAATGCAGGTCAACATTCAATCCCCAACTGTCCAAGTGGTTGGGCACTTTCTTTTCCCCGTCTTATCACAAATCCTTATCCTGACCCCTTCCAAGTGCTATGTAATCGTAATGGCTTGGCACTTACCCCTGATAATTCCCTACCCTCGCGCCTCATCACCACCCATCTCTCTCTCACCCCTTCTCTCCATCTCTCTCACGCCTTTCCAATCTCACCTCCCTCTATCTGTCTCGCCTCTCCCGTCTGACCTCCCTCTGTCCATCTCTCTCTAGCCCCTCCTGTCTCAGCTCCCTCTATCCATATCTCTTTTGCCCCTCCCCTCTCACCTCCCTCTATCCCTCTCTCTCATGCCCCTCTCCTCTCACTTCCCTCTGTCCATCTCTCTCTCGCCCCGCCCCTCTCACCTCCCTCTATCCATCTCTCTTGGCCCTCCCCTCTCACTTCCCTCTATCCATCCATCTCTCTCTCTTTCTCGCCCCGCCCCTCTCACCTCCCTCTATCCATCTGTCTTTTGCCCCGCCCCTCTCCCTCTATACCACTCATATCTTTGGTTTGTTCTTTGACGTCATCTTCCTTATTTGTGCCAGCCACACTGCTCATTTTGCAATGTCATGCGCAGTCTTGTCATGCAATCTACACTATTGCATAACTTACTGTTGCCAGTTTGTCTTGTACAGTATTTTTATTTTGTTTTTTCTTTGATACAGTAGTATTATAGTTAGAAAAGTCTTAAATTTGTTCATGTACATTTAAAGCCCTCAGGGTAGGTAGTTTTTATGGAAATTGGCATGTGATAGCTGGTATGGAGATTATGGTGACTACTGGCATGTTTGACAAGTAGTCACCAGTGCGTTGTGTTAATATTTAATGGAGAAATGGGACTTTGCCAGGTACAACTAGACAAACCTCTTTTTGCAAGTCTGTTCGTGTATACTTTTTATATTGCTTGTCTAACAATTATAATTCTGGTGTGTATTTGTAAAAACAATGTGGATAGCAGAATGATTGCATTGTGTTCGCTCTGTCCCTTCTAAATAGAGGGAATACAGAGCATATATACTACATACACGTACATGATGAAGCCCCCTAAACTATTGGGATTGTTTTAAAGCTCTCCAAATGTTCTCATTAAAAAAAGATGTATCAAATAATATATACAGTAAATGGACAATACTGGGGGATCAGGTCTCAAATTTAGTCAGTAAAATAACAACATACTAGAGGGAACGATATGGAAAGAAATAAAGGATAGAGCTAGTGAAGAACATGTGCAATAGGCACAATCAGAGAACACTGCATGAACATCAGAGGTTCACTGTTGTTCAGCATCCTCCCAGCGAGTATAAGAAATATTGCCTGAACAAAAGTGGACATCTTCAAGAGAGAACTGGATAGTTTTCTTCAAGAAGTGCTGGATCAATTGGGCTGTGGTGGATATGTGGGCCGCCCCAGCAGCCTGTTGGACCAAGTTCTCACAAGCCCAGCCAGGTAAGTCAAGCCTGGTCCCTGGCTGGGCTTGGGGAGTAGAACTCTCAGAACACCATCAAGGTACAAGGTACCCCATGTTGAGTTCCAGGCTATTTCTACAATGCTTGTTTCCTGACTAAAGGAGCTGGACAATGCATATTCTAAACTAAACATCATATCATTGTTGATGCATTGGTCAGTCATGACATGCAAAATGCTGAGGAGGTCTTGATAATAGACACAAGGTCAAGGTGTTTGGCAGGGGGTTTGGCAAGGTGTTAGGGGCAGGACCCGGGCATGAGGTGGAATCCGTCAGTCAGGACATATTTGAACGAGACATTCATGTAGATGTACATATAAGGGATTTGTCAAGTACAATACAGTATAGTATTAGGGTCATGGTATCCCCCACAATGCAGCTTTAAATTTTGTCTTCTGGTGTGCTCTGTTTTTTCCTGTTTCTTTAAAAGTTTAAGAAAATATGGTAATGTATTAACAGGAAGAATAGAACAAAAATTGCATAATATTGGTGTGTTTACACACAATTGTGCTCGGGTGATTTTGCAGCTGCTAGCCACATAAATTATAAATTTATTCTCCCTTTTTATGAAATGGTAACACGGGTTTACAGCTGTTTTTTTTTTAATTACTATACAGTAATACATGCGCTGAGACTCTTGTCTGATTAGGCAGAGAGTTCGCTGAAGTGATTGGTTTCTCTGCCAGGCTTGATTGGGTTTTAGATGGTTTCCATGTCTGCCAGAAAGCTGCTTGCAAAATATATTACTGCAGAGGAGAAAAGTGGCTGATCTTTCCAGGATGTATCCGTATACTGTACATCAAAAGACCTAGCATAATATCTTAAGACTCGAAGAACTGCAAAAATTAAGGGTGCCACACCCCCTTGGCCTAGATCCTCTTTTCAGCTGTATGACTTAAATTCATGTTTCATCTTCCATGGAGGGAGGACCTGGAGTAACTACCATTTGTATTAATAATTCATTTTGTCAGGGGACAAAGCCAATGTACGGTTTCCCTTCATCACAAAAGCCTTCCCTTCAAAATAGGAATATGGTTTTACTTGCCACATATGGGCACTAATTGTACTCGCCTAATTGTGCTTGCGGGGGTTGAGCTCTGGCTCTTTGGTCCCACCTCTCAACTGTCAATCAACTGATGTACAGATTTCTGAACCTACTGGGCTCTATCATATCTACATTTGAAACTCTGTATGGAGTCAGCCTCCACCACATCACTGCCTAATGCATTCCATCTGTTAACTAGTTTGACACTGAAAAAGTTCTTTCTAACGTCCCTGTGGCTCATTTGGGTAATCAGTTTCCACCTGTGTCCCCTTGTTCGCGTACCACCTGTGTTAAACAGTTTATTTTTATCTACCTTGTCAATTCCTCGTGAGAATTTTGTAGGTTGTGTGTGTGTCTAGGTAGCCAATGTGTGTTCATAATCGTTAGACTTTTATTGAGTGCCAAAGGTCGAATTACTGACCCCACCCATGATGCAACTCCACAGCAAGCTGACTAACTCCTTAGTACCTACTTACTGCTAGGTGAACAGAGGCATTAGGTGAAAGGAAATATGTCCAAACATTTCTGTCCAACCTGGGACGGGATTTGAACCCAGAACTCTCGATTGTGTGTCTAGAATGAATCTGGCAACTACTGGTACCCTTTTGTGGAAATGGAGCAGTTATTATACTGTACAGTACAGTACAGTACTTCTAAAGCTCTGGCCATAAATATCAAATTGCTCATTGTTGATTAGTCTGTGTTTCCAGTTGGCCTCTCGTTACATTTTGTAAAAGGGGTGAGCCACAGGAAGGCACATGATTCTCTGGAGATGCTGGCTGGTATTGGTTCCATCCAATAAATGATGGAAGATGGATGAGATGAATGGGAATAAGGAATAAATATTAGAAAAAGTTAAAGTGTATGAAGGTAAAAATATAATAGGGAATTGTAGGAGGCCAAATAGCAAAGAAGCTAAGCATTAGCAATATAAGAGAAGGAAAGGAAAGAGGCCCTAGAGGAGCTAAAGCTAAGTTAGATCACATTTGTTATGAAGGTTAGAACATTTAACATTTATTGTGAAAGGGATGTACACAGCAACAAGGGCAGTACCAAGGTTCATTTTGGGCATGTTGGGTACCGGAGCCGATTTGACAAGATGGCGTCTGTGAAGAGTAGAGGCAGGAAAGATTTTAGAAGACCAAGCTATAGGATGTTTATAGTCCCTAAAACGAATGACTGCTGCATATTTCAATGTTGGTCTCGCAAAAGGCGTGAACAATGTCTTCAATATTTCACTGTTTGTGTGAGTGGGTCAGAACCAGTCATGTTCACAAATTTGAATAGGAGAGTTGTGGGGAGCATTAGGAATATGGTTTGGTAATTACTGTAATATTTCAAAACTCTTAATCCAATACCGAACTGTTCTGTAATTTTTTTAAATAAAATTAATTATATAATTTTTATAATTTACCATCTGTGTATGAATACAGGATTAAAATTTAAATACTATTCCTATTGTTTCATACTGTAATTTGTATACAGTATTTAGTAATTTGTGTAAGTATATATTAACTAAATTTAGTTTTGAACCTTTATTGTATTTAGTGAAGGTTTGTTAGGCAACAGTCATTCTGGCATTGGTTGGACTTGGTGCTAATGCCAGCTCTCATGAGAGTACTTGGCACTTGTGTTGAGGCTTGGACTTGTGCCAGGTGTGAGGGACCAAGGCACACCATGTGATTTTCCTATACATACTTTACATTAATTCTTAGTTAACAATAAAAGTGCTGTTATTCTGCTACTACATGTCTTGTGAATGGAAAATAAAATAGGTAGGAAAGGCTGCTACTTAACATCTTTGATTAGTAAATTGTGGATTAAATTAAATTATTTGGCGTTGCATATCCAGTTGCGATAACTTTTTTTTGTTCTCACAAGGTTCCATTCATTACCTCGGCTGCCTCACTGTACGGAAACGTAAAATATTAAATCTCCCAGGTGTGTCTCTAATATCCCTCTTCGTCTTCCCTCTCCCTTCTCCTCGTCTCCCTCCTCACCTCCCCTCTCCCTTCTCACTGCCCTTCTCGCCTTCCCTCTCTCTTCTTGTCTCCCTCTTCACCTTCCCTCCCCCTTGCCTTTCTCCTCACCTCCCTCTTTACCGTCCTCCTCCTCCTGCCTCATTATCCTCCTCCTGCCTCATCATCTTCCTCCTGCCTCATTATCCTCCAATATGGAGTGCATAATGACTAAGTAACTTTGCCTCCTTCAAACTCCACCCATTATCTTTATTCTCACTCCTAATCCCTCATTTTAACTTCCATCCAGTGCTCATTCATCCACTTGTACACCTCAATCGTGTCACTCCTAATACTTTGCCTTTCTGTAGACTGTAAATTAAGCTTTTTCAGTCTTCATATGGAAGGTTTGTAATATGCGGGATTAAGTTTGACGTCCAACACTAGATTCGTTCTTGTGAATTTATATTCAGTCCAGAGTATGGCATTCAGAACTGAACTGCATAATCTAATGGAGCCTAACAAGAGCAAGATATAGCTGAAGAATAATACTAGGTATTTTATTGCTAACGCTTCGAGAAATAAATCCCAGTGCCCTATTTGTCTAATTTTGAACACTTGTGCATTGATTTTTTAGCTTTAAATTTGTACTAATCATAACTCCCAGAACCCTTTTGCAATCTCCAGAATCTCCCTCTTCATTACCTAGTCTAAAATATATCAACACATAATAGAACGCAAAACAATGGATATAAACTGGATAAGTTTCAATTTTGGAAAGACCTGGGTAAATACTGGTTCAGTAACAGGGTTGTCGATTTGTAGAACCAATTATAAGGTAACATAAGACATAGGATTCCATGATTGTTCCAAGCATAGTTTAAACATATACAGTACTGTATATGAATGAGTTTGGGTGGATATAAATAGGAGTTGCCCACATATGGGCCAATAGTCCTTTCAGTTTCCTTGATTCTTGTGTTCTTATCTTAAGGGAGTGGCAAAATGTTCTTTCATCCATAATGAAAATCATAAAAATACATGATGAACCTATGAATAAATGTGAAAGCTGTACGACAGAATCAAACCCACACTCCTGATCATCTCGGGCACATATCAACTGGACTTTAATGGCCTTTAAATTATCTTAACCATAAGTGTATTACATTACACTCATGGAGTTGTAAGGTATGATCTAGAACCACAAGCCAAGTTTTTAAGATACCTGACCACACTCCGGCGCCTCAGTATTTACTAATAGAATTATCATGTTATTGTCATTTTTATTGTGCAGTGGTGGAGGCAGATGGAGAACTCGCTATCGACAATTGAGTGTTGGCGGGTATCGGGTAAAACTTGACTTGTCGTACCGGTTGATGCAAATAACACACACAGTGCGTATACAGTATTATGATAATGTTTTCGTACTTTTGAATACATATGTACCATTCCAAATGACAAAACAAGAAAGATAAGTTCCAAATGCAGGTGACAAATTTTGGTTATGGTCACATACTTTTTAAACACCTGGATAGAGGTGTTAAGCACCTGGATTGACACTCGGCATTTTTTTTTGGTTCAGTTTCCTTGAGTGACTACAGATGCTCTTAGCAATGAAAATTAAATAGATTAGGCATGCTGCATGAGATATGCTTCAAATTTATAATAAGATACATTTTCAGAACTGATGTAGTTCAAATATGGCAAAATAAAAAATTATCTGCATTTTAATTAGTACTATGCTTCTCTACCTCATGAAAGTTAGAAGCAGGGCAATTGTGATGCATATGTAATAAAAACTTTTATTTTTGTTTTTAATGGGGTTTTGTTCACCATGAAGTAAAATAGTATACTGTAAACAGTACTGTACTTTGTAATATATGTAAATATTTTGATTTACAGTTGAGCAAAGGGCAATACATCAAGAACAAAGATGGCGGAGGCACACTCTGCAGTTGCGTTCTCCTTCGCCATCACTCACGAGGGCGTTCATGTGAACTATGACACGGAAGTGCTCCATGTCATCTGGCATTCTGGGGTCCGTACGTGGCGCCGGAGTATCCGCAGATTTGTTGTAAGTACATTATAGTTCTGTATTAAAGTGTGGGTTGATATAATAGAGATTCAATGTTAGTGCCTTTTTTAAGTGATGTTGGGTGTTGTGTTTACCAATCATTGACTATGGGGGAGTGAGATCTAGCTCTATGCCCTGCTGCTTTGCTGTTCATACCTGGCATGGT